GCAACAACCTGGCAGAGGTTATATAAACTGAGGCTTGTGTCGGGGGCGTGCATAACGGACTTCCCCTCTGAGTGAATCGTCAGACGTCAGCTGCGAGTTTTCCTGTGGTAAGTAGCCTACTTTTCACTTACTTTTAAAACGTAAACCATTACCAATATCAATGAAATTTTAAAATATGAAGAAAGTAAATATAAAATCTAATTATAGGCTATTACTAGGACAGTTTTTTTCCTCAAAAACTGCCGCTTTCATGAAACTAATTCAATTGTCCTGCAACTGCGTTTTCCAGTAGAGATGTGTAGTATTTACATGAACAATGATTTTTCAACTTTTTTACTGCTGCTTATGGTATATTTTACTCGTCAGTTAAATCAATACCGTTAAATGTGTGACGTCATTTGAAATAGCACGAGCGCTCTCTCTCTCGCGCGCTCTCTCTCTCGCGCTCTCCCTCTCGTAAATAAAACATTTACACCAGTGCATATACCAGAGAAAAAATATATATATTCAAGTAAAATTATAATCAATTAATTCAAGAAAGAAAATGCATTCTTTATTACGGCTTCTTGTTTGTTAATAGAAGCAAGGTCTCATCAAAGTCAGTATTCTCTTAAGTTTCATATTAATTATTTTTTACATTTTATTGTATATATTCTCTTCTCTCTTTTTTCAGTGTTGATTGTAATCTGATGGTGTAAGTGATCAATCTAGCAGTCATTCTAGATATTATTTATCATGTTCATAACATATAGTGATTAGTCAATAATCACTGACGAAAAATAATGATTATTCTTTTTCTCTCTTTTGCTTGTTTCAACAGAAGCTAACTACACCCCAAAGGCTATTTTAGGAGCCACAGCACTGAGCATCTTTGGCTTTGTAAGTATGTGTAGCATTTGGACCAATCAGACACACAACTTTTTGTTATATTTAACAAATAATATCGAACTCCCCATCACCTAACCAAATGGCCAATTACGAGGGTCTATGGACCCTTCCCCCGAAATGCACCTAACACCTCAGAAAGGCAGAACAGGCCTCTGGTTCCATGGTAACCAATGCTGATATCACTGGTTTTATGGCCTAAAAGGAATGCAGGAGATAAACTCCCTCATTTTCCTCATAAGAAAGACACATAATGCCCAGAGAAATGGACTGTTCTCTAATTAATTCATAGGAAAACCTTTCTTTGATTGAATACACATATCCTTCAGATCATTGTGTATACCATTACTGTTCTTGCATATTGTCTGTTGTAGTGTATGCATGTTATCATAGACCACTAGTTAACATAACCTCACCTATTTCATGTTTGGTCTCTATGAATTCATCTTCGGATGATCTAACTGAGAGTGCATATTACATGCTGATACCTCTGCAACATATGGATGCTCTAAGAATCATTACTAATTTCTGAATCAACACCCAAGTG